CACACACACACACACACACAAATAAATGTAATAAATAAAAAATAAATAAATAAATATTAAAAAAATAATAAAAAATATATATATTTATTTATTTATTTTGAGACAGAGTCCATATGTAGTTCAGGATGGCCTTGAGCTCCCAGCCACTTTCCTGCCTTGTCCTCCCAGCTCTGGAGTTGTGGAGCAGAGAAGAGCCTATGTGCTGGTCACACCCACCTGTTGTCCAGCACTCCAGGAGGCTGAGGCAGGAGGATTGCGAGTTCCAGCCCAGCCTGGACACGTTAGCAGCTTAGTGAGACCTGATCTCAGAAATCGGGGTGGAGCTTGGCCCAGGCTCTGGCCTAGGCTCGATCTCCAGGAGCACAACCAAAAGCCATCCAGGGAGGAGACAGAGACCGGAGTGATGCAGCCCCAAGTCGGCAGATGCTGGGGCCACCTGAAGCTGGAAGAGGTGGCAAGGACTGCTTGCTGGACCCTCCAGGGCAGTGCGCTGCAGACTCCCCATTTGTGGCTTCTAGCTTCCAGAAGTATAACAGCATTAGTTTGAGTGTGGCTGGTTTGGAGCCAGGCATAGGTGCACTGGTGTGCTGCTGAGTGTGAGACTCCAGGGGAGGCGACACAGAGCTTAGTTATTTTTTCTTATTTATTTGTTTATTGAAATAGGGTCTCATTGAGTCACTAATTCGCCCAGGCTAGGTTCACACTTGGGATCCTCCTGCCTCAGCCTCCCAAGTGCTGGTATCACAGGTGTATACCACCACACCCAGCCAGAGCTGGGTCCTTAGCGCTGGTTCCTCTCTCAAAGGTCCTTTCTCAGGGACTGTCCTGAGCAGGAAGCAGCGACAGGCAGAGGGACTGTGTCAGTGTGGAGCCTGGCCCCACAGTGCTGTCCATGGTGTAAGGGATGCGGGCTGTTACCACTTAGGGGACCATGGTGCTGGGTCCCAGGGTTCCATGTCCACCTATCCTTTGACCTGGCATCTTGCCCCTCAGTCCTCTCCAGCTGCTGGCAATGTTTGGGGCCCTGCAGCTCAGCTGTGAGTGCGTAGGGGGAGGTCTCCCATGGTGCCAGCGTGTGGGCACAACCCACATGTCTATCCTGGACAGATGGACACAGTGTGGAGGGACCCTGAGGACACTGTGGTCAGTGAGAGCCACCAGGCATGGAGCACACAGCACGGGCTCCATGACAGGAAATGCCCAGAACAGACGACTCCAGGGACAGGAAGTGGCCTCGGGGTCCCAGGCTAGGAGGGACAGGTGACTGCTATGGTGCTGTGGGCATGGAGCTCCCTGTTGCATACAGATCGTTTTCTGGAATTAGATGGTGGTGATGGCCATGAAACTCACCCCAATAGAAATTACGTAGGTGTCCATCTTGAAGGGGAGGATGTGGAAGGGAGGGAGCTTTTCTTTATTATTTTAGGGCTCTCAGGGTTTGACAGTGCCTGAGCATTGAACCGATACAAGAGGAGTAGGAGGAACATGTCCGGGTGTGTATCAGTATGTGTCTTTGTGTGTGTTTAGTACAGGGTCTCACTACGTACCTCGGATTCCGACTCGATCCATCCGCTTGTGTTCAGCCTCCCAAGCCCTGGGATTACAGGCGCGCACCAACACACCCAGTCCTAAAAATTTGAGAAAGATTCTTTGTTTTGTTTGGCCGGCGCAGGCTGCCTCAAGGGCAGGTCTGGTGTGGCATGTGGTGCTGGGGATCGAGCCGCAGTCCCTTGCCCCTGATTGATTTTGCTCCAGAAGCCACTTCAGACAGCTGAGCTAACTCACCAGCTCCTACTGTTCAGGTTAGTGTGGCATGAGCGTCAGCCTTCATACTTGTTAGGGACCAGAGACTCCAGTGTGCCCTGCTTCAGATGAAGCTGGACAAGAAAAGTGAGGTGGGAAAAGGCAGGTAACTCAGCTCCTGTGAGTGAGAAGGAAGCCCAGTGCAATGGTGACTGCGGGTCACCCCAGTGCTGGGGAGGCTGAGGCAGGAGGGTCTCTGTGAGCTTGAGACCAGCCTGGGCTACAAGGTGAGTTCAAGGCCAGCCTGAGCAACATAGCGAGACCCTGTCTCAAAAGGACCTAATAATAATAATAATAATAAGTCCCTGGAGCTGGAGTGAGCAGGTGGCCATCACAGCCAGCTCGGAAGCACAGTGCCATCGCAGCCAGAGCCGTCCCTGCTCCTGAGCCCCCTGCACCAGCCAGGAGTCCCCTCTCAAGTTCAGAGTAAGGCCACTTGGAGGGGTGCTTGGTTTCATTGTTTTGGTTTTGCAGTGCTGGGGTGGAACCTGGGGCCTTTGTACTGAGCTCATGCCCAGCCTGATTGACTGATTCATTATCTTTCTTTTTATTTATTTATTTGTGGGGGGGGGCCCAGCTCAGCCCACCAGGGGGCGGGGCTGGCTGGCATGTGGTGCTGGGGGATTGAAACTCGGTCCCTTTGTTTCGCTAAGCTTGTTCTAAGTAGGTGCTTTAGACCACTGAGCCATCTCACCAGCCCATGATTATCTTTCTGAGATAGGGTCTCACTATGTAGCCCAGGCTGGCCTCAGTCCTCCTGTCTCAGCCTCCCGAGTGCTGGAAAGACAGGTATGCGCCACTATGGCCAGCTGATTTCATATTTTGAGACAGGGTCTCCGTGAGTTGCCCAGGCTGTACTGGAGCTTACGATCCTCCGCTTCAGCCTGCGGAGTGCTGGGATGATGGATGTGCGTCGTTTTGATCCCACCTGTCCCGGCTCCTCTGTGAGGTGGGACTGTCCCCCGCCTGGTGTGTGCCCCTGACCTGAGGGAGGCCTCTGCCTGGAGCTCGCCTGCTGTGTCTTCTCCTGAGTGAGCCAGATGCCTTTCCTCGCGTCACAGGACCACTTGCTTCGTGACGACTGGGGCCTGGATGGGGCAGGTTCTCCAAAGAGGCCCCAGAGTCTGGGCAGAGGTTTGAGGTGCGGAGTCAATGACACAGAGAGGGTCCCCAGCCTGCAGAGTAGGAGGGAAATCCTGCAGTCTTGGGGGCCATGGGTGCAGCCGTGCCCCTCTGACCACCGGCCCCCTCTCCGCAGCAATGGCAGATGAGTCTGGGCACCAGCGAAGACCACCAGCACTTCACCTGCACCATCTGGAGGTGAGCGTGGACAGTGGGCACAGGTTCCTGCAGTTCTGGTACCTCCGTCTGGCTCACACCCTGCTCCTTTTCCTGACTGAGACCAAGTGGTGCTCAGATCCTCAGGTGGGCCAGGCAGGAGACCTGGAGCAGAGAGCAGGGTGGTGCTGGACCCTCAGCCTGGAGGACCCGCTGGTGTTGGGGGTGCGGCTGGTGACGGAGCTGTGGGCTCTCCAGGCTGACTGTGGCCTCCCTTGCAGGCCCCAAGGGAAGTCCTACCTCTACTTCACGCAGTTCAAGGCGGAGGTGCATGGCGCCGAGATCGAGTACGCCATGGCCTACGTGAGTCGGCTCTGCATGGGTGGGCCCGGGGGCCCCAGATGCGGTTATGAGGTGGACCCGCGCCCCTCAGCCCTCGGCCTCGGCAGCCTCTGTGGGCGCAACCTGGGGAGCACCCCGCCCACCCAGAGGGCCCGCCACAGCCTCACCTCTGCACTGGGCTCAGACACAGGAAGTCACTGCTGTCCCTCCAGGCTCAATCAGGGAAACACATGAAGCGACTTGGGTGTTGGGAGGAGTGGCCCATGCCTGTTGTCCCATACTCAGGAGGCTGAGGCAGGAAGGTTGCATGTTTAAGCCCAGACTAGGCAATTTAGCAAAGTCCTGTCTCAAAACTAAATAGGTCTGGGGTATGGTTGGAATTTATAGTCTTTGTGCCTCAGCCTCCCAGAGTGTGGGGTGATGCATGCGTCACAACAGTGGGCCAGGGCTGAAGCTTTTGCTGCGGGACAGTGTCTGAGGTAACTGAGGCAGCTGCTCCTGTTCCTGCTCTCCGGGAGCTGAGGGAAGTCCAGCTTCCAGTAAAGGCCATGCTTGTTCCCTTGCAGTCAAAAGCCGCCTTTGAACGTGAAAGCGATGTTCCCCTGAAAAAAGAGGAATTTGAAGTGACCAAGACAGCAGGTAGGTAAAGGTGGATTGTGGCGCGAGGGCATGGGTCACACGCCTGTCGTCCCAGCTTTTGGGGAGGCCAACCCAGCCAGGGCAACTTAGCAAGTCCCTGTCTCAAAATGAATGAACAAAGACCCTGGGGATGTAGCTCAATGTAAAGGCCCTGGGTTCGGTCCCCAAGACCCTCCTCCCAGAAACTTAAGGTGCCATTCTAGGCCTGGTGTAGTGGCGCATGCCTATAATCCCAGCACTTGGGCCTGAGGCAGGAAGTTGGGAGTTTAAGACCAGCTTTGGCTACAAAGTGAGTTCAAGCCCAGCCTAAGTGCTATAGCAAGACCCTGTCTGAAAAAGACAAAAATAAATATAAATAAATAAAATGCCTTTCTTAGCCTGGCATGGTGGCACACACCTGCTATCAGAAGGCTGAGGCAGGAGGTTGGCTGGAGTTCAAGACCAGCCTAAACTACGTAGCAAACCCGTCTCTAAAAAAAGCCTTTCTTAAAAAGAAAAAAGGGGCCAGAGAGATGACTCAGTGGAATAAGCACTTCCCTGGCAAGCGCAAGGGCCTGAGTTCAATCCCTGGTTCCGCAAAAAAAAAAAAAAAAAAGCCTTTCTTGTCCCCTGTGACTTCATTGTCACCCATCGTTAATCCCTACTGGGGTCACCTCTGGGCCTGAGATCTTAACTCTGACACCCAAGGGCGCAGGCCTTCTGTGGATGGCTCTTTGGGGCAGGCACACTCTACTGAAACCATCGCGAAGCCTTGTGCCTCCACCTGCTGCCCCCACCTTGCTCTCTGCCGTCCCTTTCCTGACCTGCACGATGGCTGGGGCCTGTCCATCTCGTGCCCTGTGGCTCCCACCTGCCTGGCCCTCAGGCCCTGTCACACGCTGACCGGCCCTTGTTCCCTGCAGTGGCCCACAGGCCCGGCACCTTCAGGGCAGAGCTGTCCAAGCTGGTGATCGTGGCCAAGGTGGCTCATGGCGAGCTGTGAGCACCCAGAGCACGGGTCGGCGGCTCTCTCGGAGACCCTTGGAGCCCACCTGACACCAGTGTCCCTGCTCAGCTGGCAGCCGTGTGTGGAGAAGCCACCGCCCACCCTGCTCCTGCACTGCATCCTGGCCCCGCTCCTCGCACTGTGGACCCAGGGCACCGAGCCTTCTGATGCCAGCCTGGTTCTCCAGGGACCTGCTGGGCACCAGGAGCCCCCAGGACTCAACCCCACTGTCACCAGGGGACCTTCTTTGAGACAACTGGGAAGACACCAAATGTTCTTTCATATTTAAATAAAAAACTGAAAAAAAACCAGCCACCCTTGTGGGCCCTCCTGAGGCTCCCAGAGGACACTGAGTACCAGGCAGGAGGGCTCCTGCAGGCACTGGGCAGCTCCCCTCCCTGAGACCTGAGGGACAGCGAGGTCAGGTCCCATAGTCCTCTTGAACAATGGCAGCAACAAGTGCTCGAGGGTAGACCTGCTGATCTCCCTTGGTTTTGGTTTTTAAAGTTGTAGGGCTGGGGAGGTAGCTCAGTAGAATAAGCAGTTGCCTATCAAGCACAGGGTCCTGAGTTCAATCCCCGGTACCACAAAAAGATAAATACAAATAAAGTTGGAGTAGGACAGGACAATTTTTAAACCCAAAACAGCCAGGCTCAGCAGTACACGTCTGTCATCCTTGGTATGTGGGTGCTGAGGAGGATCACAAGCTTGAGCCCAGCCTGGCAACTTACTGAGACATTATGTTAAATAAAAAGTGTTATGGATCACTCAACAGGAACCAGATCAGATTGGAATTTGGAAAGCCATTTATTACTGAGCTCAGTGCTGCGCGCGCCCCCCCCACACACACACAGGAGAGAACCACATTGAGTTTGATAAGCAAATTAATTTTCTTGACACAAAATAATGCTTTCAGATTGATTGGGACCACAACTCAAACTACATTTCCGGGGCCTTTGTTTCAGTTTCTGGTTAATTTTCACCTGAGTACCTGCAGGCAGCCTTACATAGCCCGGAGGTTACAAGAAGATAAAGCCCAGTTAGTTTCCTTTGTCATCTCTGTAAACTAACTTTGCAGACAGGAATTGGTGAGGGTCACAGGAATTTAGCAAACAGCAAGAGACGGCCACTAGTTACTAAACAACTTAGAACAGTGGTAAGTACACATTTATAACAGCACAAGATTGACATTTATAGCCTAAAATGTGAGTTAACCCATTACAAAAAGGAGGGGGTCAGGGATACCATTCAGCGGCATAAGCACCTTGCCTGGTAAATGCAAGGTCCCAAATTCAATCCCTGATCCCGCAAAAAACAAAAAAGGTCCAGGTATGTAACTCGGTGCAAAGAGCCCAAGTTCATCCCCAGTAGTGCTGCAGAAACGGACAGGAAGGCCCGCTCTGGGATGGTGGAAGAGGAGGTGGCAGCAAGCGCATCTGCCCAGTGCACACGAGCTACAGAGGTGGCATTTGTTGAAAGAGTTCTCAGGTGTTCTTCACTTTGTTTTCTTAAATTGAATCTCAAGGGCCGGGGAGATGCTCAGTAGAATAAGCACTTGCAAGCGCAGGGGCCTGAGTTCAATCCCCAGTTCCGCAAAAAAAGATAAAAAACAATAAATTGAATCTCAAATTTACAAGAGTCCAGGCAGCGTGGATGGTCCAGCAGGGGACAAGGACAGTTACATACATATTTTGGTAGCACAGCTGAGGGCACAAGAGTCCACGTGGGGCCAGGCTCTCGGGCCGTCCGCTTGTGGATCAGTTCTTTATACCCTTTAGAGGTTGCTCAGAGCGTTCCCGGCCGTTGTTTTTTTTTAAAGACTAGCGTAACGTTCTACCCCGGGCTGTGCTTCACTGCAGTGCCCCGAAAGCCGTTTGGTTGGCCCAGGGTCCCACTGCACCACTCAGACTCATAGAGTGCCTTCTGTCTCAGCCTCCCCGGCCCTGGGGTCACAGATGTGCGCCTCCTGCCCAGGCTCGGGCTGCCGCAGCATGTGGTGTTAGGGATTGAACCCCCAGCACTTAGTCTGCTGAGCTATCTTGCTGGCCCTCTGCAAACAGCATTTTATTTAGGGCATAGCAGCATGCCTGAGATCCCAGCCCTCAGGACGACCTCAGCAAGTTCAAAGCCAACCTGAGCTAGTGAGTGAGACCTAGTCTGTCCCCCCAAAAAACTACCTCCGCTCCATCCTGTACTTTTCTACTGTAGATTTGTACCTAAGCCTAGTAGCCCGCCTGGTACAACGGTGAGGCATGTGCATCCGGGCAGGAACAGCCTCGGTTCTCGCCCACATAGTGCTACTTTGTGTATGTTTACCCACGCCCGGCACACTTGTGTAAACATTGCACCATAATGGGATGTGGGCATGACTTGCCCCCACCCCTTCCTCGAACACACACACCGCTGGGATACTGGCAGCAGCACCCGGTGAGTTTTGCCTGCAAAGTGCCAACTGCTAAATTTCTATGCATTTAGGGTTTGTTTTTAAAAAGGTTTTTTTTTTTTTTTTTTTTTTTTGTCTGGTAGAAGTAGCCAGGTCAGTACAGTGGTGTGTGAAAGGCTAGATCTGCAACTTTTGGAGGTGGGGAGAGAGTCATGGGGTCACTCAGGCACAGGTGGGTGCTGAAGGTGGCTTTGACAGTGGCCGCAGGAGCCCAAGCTCCTGTGACAGCAACAGGGAAGCAAGGATGACCATGCAGACACAGGCAGTGCAGACCTCCTTGATCCCAGTGATGAAAGAGACAGCAATTTGAGTTCATATTTTAGTGGAAATGGTATAAAATGGTTACACAACCGAATGGAACAACCCAGTGTCAGAAGCAGGTCTTTATTTTTTTATATATTTTTCATGTTATGTATTCATTTTAACATAACAAAACTCATCAAATTAATAATTCATCAATAGAAATACTCCAAAGAAAAAGCTGTATGCGTCTTTATGACAAAATTGGCGTCATGCCCCGTCAGATGGGCCCTGACCCAGGCACTGAGCAGTCCGCCAGGCCAGGAGGGACACTAGGAAGAAGGGTTCTCAGTGAAAGAAAGCTTTTTGGCTTTTTTGAGAAAGCAGAGGCTGGGTGTAGGGACTCAACGCCTATCATCTCAGCTCGGGAGGCTGAGGCAGGAAGATCAGGTTCTAGTCCATCCTGGGCAACATAGTGACTCAGTGAGACCGTGTCGGAAAGGGCCGAGGAGAATGTAGCTCAGCCGAGAGGATCTGGGTTCCATCTCCAGTTCTGGGGAAGAAAAAAAAGTCAAGCAGAAAGCACAGACAGGCTGGGAGCAGTCTGCGCGCCTCTTCTCTGGAGGCTTCTACAGCCCAGCAGACGGGGCGTTACCCAACGGTTCCACCAGGGGGCAGCACAAGCGCAGCGCCAACCGCTGTAGTAGGCCTTGCAGCTAGGTAGGTAGGTGCGATTCCCAGATGTTGAACTTGTGGGCTGGTCCCAAACTTCTCAAATGCTAATGGGGCTGCAGCAGTGCCGTCTTCGGGCCTATTTGGGGCCTTGGTGCAGAAAGGTGCAGCTCCACACATGGACGTCCCTCCTGCCCCAGCTGCAATGCTACAGTGGTTGAAACCCACAGGCCCAGCCCCCAGGGCCTTTGCGTGCTGCCAGAGCTAAGGTGCTGCAGGTTTGCTGCACGGGGCTCCTTCCTCTGCAGGGCTGGGGCTGACTGGGGGGGGGGGGCACTCACCGCCAAGCCGCCCCAACCCCAAAGTCTAACAGCAGCACAGTGGCTTGCTGGTGCCTTTCTGTTGCACGTCTGTGAGGCTCCAGTAGTCCACGTCCTGGATCCACATCCCCCAAATGGAGCAGCTTCAACAGCAGCACTTACTCCTGCTGGCTCAGAGACCAGAAGCTGAGGGTGAGGCGTGGCCAGGCCTGTTCCTCCTGAGGCCTGGAGGACGCTGCCCTGCCTGTCCCCAGCATCGGGTGGTGGCCCCCATCCTGGGAGTGCTTGGCTTGTGGAAATGTCGCCCTTCTCTGCCTGTCATCACATGGTGTTCCCCTGTGTGCGTGTCTGTCCCAGTGTCTCTTTGAAGGACCCAGGACCCACCCAGCTGTGCCAGGCTTCACCCCAGCCAGGTGTACCCCAGTGCATGGCCGGGGCAGGGGCAGGAGAGCAGGTGCCCCAGCGGTACAGCTCCTCTGGAAACCTGCCTGCTTCTGGCTCCTGGAGGGATGGAAACACTGACTTGGTCACAGAAGCTGTGCCAGCTCTGAAGAGTCCCCAGGTTACAGGGGTAGATGGGCTGCACAGGACTTGGGGCCTCCATCCGATGACACGGTGAGCTGCAGTCTAGCACAACCCAGAGGCCCTATCTGATGTCACAGGTCAGGGAACCTGAGGCAATGGGGACTTGACTTTTATTTATTTTTCTGCCTGGTACTGGGGGTTGAACCCAGGCCTTTCACACTGAACTCCATCCCCAGGCCTTTTTAATTTGTTATTTATAGACAGAGTCTCACTGAGGTGCTCACTTGCCCAGGCCAGGCTCCAACTTGAGATCTTCCTGCCTCAGCCTCCCAGAGCACAGCCGGTGTGGGCCTTTAAACTGCTGGCGCTGATGCTTTCTGGTCCTCCTGAGTCCCACAGAGTGTGGGAAAGGGTTAGAGGTGCAGGCTCACGTCCCTGATGGGTGACACCCTTAGATGGTGCCATCCTCCAGCATCCGGTTCAGCCCATCACAGATTCTGGTCAGGTGTGAGCTGTAGGGCTCCGCGGGGCCATAGAGCGCGGCCAGGAAGTCACCATCCGCCAAGTGGCCAAAGACGCGACTGATGCGTCCATGCGACTTGGCGGTGAGGTGCGGCCCCGCCGCCTGGTGCAGCAGGTCGCGGCACTCGAGCAGCCCCGCGGCCAGCACGCGGCGGTCAAAGGTGAAGGCCACCTGGTGGAAGCTTACGGCCGTCATGGCCAGGCCCCGCGCCCGCTGCCGGAAGCGCCGCAGCCGCGCCAGCTCCTCGGTGCCCAGCTGCCCGGCGCGCAGCAGCACGGCCACCTTCACCGCCACCTTCACCAGGTCCTTGAGCAGCTTCTGCGCTGCGCGCCGGCTGCGCGTGAACTCCTTGGTGGCGCGGTACAGCTCGTCTAGCACCTCGCTGCTCGTGTCGTCCACGAACGTGGCCACCACGGCCTTGCAGGGCATCTTGCTCAGGACCTTCTTCTGCGCCTGCAGCGCCAGGTTCTTGGTGCTGAAGGTGTCCATGGGCCTGCGGGGCAGACGGATGGACAGATGGAGCAGCAGCCACCACCCCAGCCCCGGGCCTCGCCTTCCTGTGGGCATGTGGGCAGGGCCTCCGCAAAGGAGAGGTGTGGGGACAGGGGCATCCACACCCAATGGTGGCCACCCACAGACCCTTGAGGAACCTATAGGAGTCAGTGGTACACGCCCAGCTACTCGGGAGGCTGAGGCAGAAGGACCTCAGGCACAGCCCAGCCTGGCCAATTTAGCAAGACCTTGCATCAAATTATAAAAAAAATTAAGGGGCCAGGGAGACAGCTCAGTAGAATAGGCGCTTGCTTGCAAGTGCAAGGTCCTTAGTTCAATCCCCGGTACCACCCCAAAATAAAATAAAAATAAAAACAGGAGCCAGGGAGATAGCTCAGTAGAATAAGCGCTTGTCGGGGCTGGAGAGATGGCTCAGTGGTCTAAAGCACCTACTTGAAACAAGCTTGGCAAAGCACAGGGACCGCGGTTCGATCCCCAGCGCCACATGCCAGCCAGCCCCGCCCCCTGGTGGGCTGAGCTGGCCACACACACACAATAAATGTAATAAATAAAAATAAATAAATATTTAAAAAAAAAAAAAGAATAAGCACTTGTCTGGCAAGTGCAAGGGCCTCAGTTCAATCCCTGGTTCCACACACACACACAAATAATAATAATAATAATAATAATTTTTTTTTAAATTTTATTTATTTGTGTGTGTGTGTGTGTGTGTGTGGCCAGCTCAGCCCACCAGGGGGTGGGCTGGCTGGCATGTGGTGCTGGGGGATCGAACTGTGGTCCCTGGGTTTTTGCTAAAGCTTGTTCTAAGTAGGTGCTTTAGACCACTGAGCCATCTCACCAGCCCAATAATAATAATTTTAAAAAATAAAATTAAAAACATCCAGAGGTGGAGCTCAGTGGTAGAGTAGCCCTGAGCTCCATCCCTAGGGTGGCAGAGGAGAGGAGAAGGGGCAGAGGGCCAGACAAGAAGAGGTGAGGGGAAGAGGAGGAAGAAGGGGTACAGAAGGAGGGACTGGGGAGGTGAAAGAGGAGGAGAGTCAGAGGCCTGGGGGGCAGTGGTGCAGGGCTGGGGCATCATCAGGTGCCTCACGCACTCAGGGCTCCGGCTACACCCCTGCCCATCTGGCGATAGGTGGGATGGCATCTGGAGCCCCAGGCCTCGTTACTGTGACTGGTGTTGCAGCCTCACTGCTTCTGGGTCGGCAGCAGCCTGGGCAGTGGCTTCCCCTCCAGAATTGCTTCTAAATTCCAGAGCTGGGCCTGCCCCTTCCTGCTGAGAACCAGGGGACAGTTCTCCACGGCCTCAGGACCAAACATACACCTGGCTTTTCCTTGGTGAACTCCTATACATCCCCCAAAACCCTGGCCCCCAAACCCCTGCCTCTTTCCTGGTGAACTTCTTTACACTCCCTAAAGCCCAGGCCCCTAAACTCTTTCTGGGCTAATTCCTCTCTCAGCTTGGAATATGACAAGGAGGACTCCACCTCCCCAGGAGCCATGGCTGGTGGACTCCCACACCACCACTGCCCAGAAGCGCTGGGCCAGCCCCCACCCAGCCTGGGCTGGAATGCCATGCAGCCCTCACTCATCCCTGGGACTCCCACAAAGCTGTCTTTGTTGGAACTCAGACCCAGGAGGAGCCTGGCCCTCAGCCACTCTCTTCGCCCTCTGAGGTCACGCGTCTGCAATGGCTGCAGTGTCCCTGTCCCTGCCCCGCAGGTCACAGGCCTGTGGACTCAGGGCCATGCACCCAGCTCATCCTGCCCTGGGCAGCTGTGTAAAGACCAGGTCTGGAGAGGCCACAAAGCCCCAGGGCCCGCCGCGCCTCTGCACCAGCCTCCCGGCCTCCCCACCTGATGCCCATGTGGCCCTGAGCTCGGGGCCAGGCATGGTTCCTGTGGCCAAAGCAACCCCTGTGGGCAGCCTTCTGCCAGCTCTGATGGCCCCAGCAGGTGCCCTACCCATGGTGTGCCTCAGGTTCCCCAGGTCTACAATGCAGGTGACAAGAACCAGCTCGATCCCGGGGCAGAAGTGTGTAGCCAGCCGTAGAGTCCCCCAAGCTGTGAACTTAGACCCACAGCCAGCCAGACTCTGTCTGCAGGACCCTGAGCACAGAGATAAATGGCCTCTCTGGAAGAAAAAGCTGTGACTGCCACTGGCTGCCTGCCATGAGACATATCTCTGACACACATTCCCTAAAGTGTTCCATCAGATTCTCTAGAACCTTCTCTTCCATCTTCTTCCCCCAACTTCCTCTCCATTTTACTCACTGGACAAACTCTTATTCATCCCTCAAGACCCAGTGTCTCTGTCCCCTCCTCCTGGAAGCCTCCCAGAAGCCCACTCAGTCCACAGAGCTCCCAGCATCCCCCAGGCAGCCCCAGCTGGGTCTGTCACCTTGCACAGCCCATGATGCCAGCAGGGGCAATGACTACACTGTTACATATGTGGCCAGCCAGGGACCCCAACAAGTGTCTGTTGAACATGAGAAAGACAGGAAGTCTGCATTCACAGGAAGGAGGACTCCCCAAGTCCAAGTCCCAGCTCCAGATGAACAGAATGAGGCCCGGACTTGGGAAGGAGGCCTGGGCCGGGCATGCTGTGAGCACACCTGTCAGCCCAGCACTGGGGAAGCTAAGGCAGGGGTGGCCACGAGTTCGAGGCCAGTCTAGGCTACATAGTGAGTCTGTCAAAAAAAAAGGAGACGGAAAAGGCAGCCAAGGGCCCCCCTTCCGCCAGTCGCGCAGCCCTCTCTGGGCTGCCCCTTTCCCATTGGCAGCTCAGCACAGAGGGGAGAGCTGGGTCAGCCTTGGGATGACTCCCAGCAGGACACGGAGGGTGCGGGCAGCTGTGGCCTCTGCGCCCCCAGCATCACCTCCAGCCTGGCCCTCACCCGGCAACACCTGGGCCAGCTGCACAGCCTCCAGTCTTCCCTGGGACCCATTGTTCTGCCAGAAAGTCCCAGCAGGGAGGTGACCGCTGTCTCAAAACAAGTCCCCTGACCAAAATAAACCTGGGCTTCCTTCCTGTGGGGGGCGGGACCTTTCCCTCTGTCCCCACCCTCTGTCCACCCAATGCCAACACATCCCAGAGCCTGAGCAGCCCGCTCCAACTTCAGATTGGCCCAACACGCATTTAGTCACTTAACAGACATGGCCCTGCATGGTGGGGATAACAGATGGTGGCCTACGGTGGTGGCACACGCCTGGCATCCCAGTGCTCAGGCTGAGGCAGGAGGGTCCCTGAGTTCAAGGCCAGCCTGCATCCGCCATGCAGATCCATCTAGCACTATGAGGGCCTGCCCTGATGCACCGTGGGCAGAGCTGCCAGCTCCTGGCCCCGCCCCGCCCCCCAGGTCCCGGCTCAGGCTATACCTCGGACTTCTCACCAGCTACCAAACTCCGCCTCATCTCCTGGACTATGGCCTCTGTCCTCGCCGCTGTGTGGACACTCAGCTGCCAGATATGCTGCAAATCACTCAGGGGCCAAAAAAACGGCAGCATCTTCACCTGCTCAAAGTCTGGGCAGGTAGGCAGTATCTGAACTGTCTCTGAGTAGGGTGTGGTGGGGGCGCGCTTGTTCTGCTCCAGCCCTTGGGGCCCCTGCCCCCAACCCACTCCTGTCCTCCCCACAAGGTCTCACTACGTAGCCCAGGTTGGCCTCCAACCTGCAGCAATTCTCCTGCCTCAGCCTCCCAAGTGCTGGGATTACAGGCATGTGCCATGACTCCCAGCTGGGCTGGATAATTTCAGGAAAAACTGCATTTGCCCTGAATGTGTCCGGACTTTTTCTTCTGTTGATACAATACAGGGTAACAACTATTTCTATACTATGGATATTATATCAGGTAGTGCGAACCCTCTGGATTGCATAGCCCACCCTGGTGTGGGGCTGGCATGGCATGTGGTGCCAGGGATTGAACCACAGTCCCCTGAGCTTGCCGAAGCAAGCGCTGTAGACCACTGAGCTCCCTCACTGCCTCTACTTTTTTTTTTTTTTTAATTTTTATTTATTTATTTGTTTGTGTGTGTGTGTGTGTGTGGCCAGCTCAGCCCACCAGGGGGTGGGGCTGGCTGGCTTGTGGTGCTGGGGGATTGAACCCTGGTCCCTGTGCTTTGCTGAGCTTGTTCTGAGTAGGTGCTGTAGACCACTGAGCCATCTCACCAGCCCCCCCTCACTGCCTCTAGATGATAATTCTTAACCACCAGTTTTTTTCTTTTTCTTTTTCTTTTCTTCTTCTTCTTCTTTTTTTTTTTTTTTGAGGTACTAGAGATCGAACTCAGGCCCCTGCGCTTGCCAGGCAAGCACTTATCCCACTGAGCCATCTCCCCGGCACCACCAGCTTTGTAAAAGGCATGACATTTTTAGCTGGATCTGATAGCACAGGTCAGTCTTCCCAGCACTCCAGGAGGCTGAGCGGGAGGATCACAAATTTAGGCCAGCTAGGGTACCACAGGAGACCCTGTCTTAAAATTAAAAACAAGAAGGGATGCAGCTCAGTAATGGAGTGCCGCTAGGATAGGCTGTCAGTACCAGGGGAAAATGGTGAACTATGGCCCTCACTCGCCTTTGTAAATAAAGTTGTTTGACACACAGCAACGCCCATTCACTTATATCAGCTATGGTGCTTTCCCTCTTACATGAGCGGGCAGACTGTGTGGTTTGCCAGGCTAAAACTATTTGCTATCTGATCATTTATAGAAAAGCTTTGCCAATCCCCCATCTAGACAAACCACAGAACAATAGATCAAGCCTTCATTTGTAGTGTTTACCAATTTACATGGTGTCAAATTTGCCACCAGGGAGCCAGACATGGCACACACCTATAATCCAGCACTCGGGAGGCTGAGGCTGGAGGATCGTTGTGAGTTCAACAGCAGCATGGACTACAAAGTGAGCTCAAGGCTGAGCTGGAGAACAAGACCCTGTTTCAAACTCACACACACACACACAATTGCCACTGCAGCCAACTTCAAGCTGCTAATTTGGTATCAACAAGCATGGAGTTGGGAAGCGACCCTTGACATACCAAACAATGTAAGACATGAAAACAACCTCTGAGCACAGGACACTGGAAACAGTAAGAAAACCGGAGTTACGTCTGCCCACCCTCTGACACCGGGGGCACTGAGCTACATCCATAGGCCTTTCTTAATTTTTTAAATTTTGAATCAGGGTCCTAGGCCAGCATCAGACTTGCGATCCTCCTGCCTTAGCCTCCTGCCATCATATTCTGCACCTATAAAACAGCTTTATTGAAAGAACTCAAAAAAACCTGGCAAGCGCTGGATCCTGAGTTCAATCCCCGGTACCGCAAAAAAAAAAAAAAAAAAAAAAAAAAAAAGAAAGAGTTCATATAGCACAACATTCACTGATTTGAAGGGTACAATTTGGTGAGTTTTCTACAGCCCTGTCCCCAGGAACAGTCATCTCATCCTCTCGCCAGCCCCTGGCACCCCTCAGTCCGCTTCCTGTCTCTGGACTCACCTGTCTTGGACATTTCTGGCCACAGAGCCCACACTGTGACCTTCCATCTGTCCTGTAGTATGTGTTACATGCAGCCTTGTTCCTTCTAAAGGCTAAATAATATTCTACACCTTTACGTATTTTGGTATTTTGAGTCAGGGTCTCACTAAGCAGCCCAGGCTGACCTTGACTTGGAGACCATCCTCCTGCTTCTGCCACCCAAGTCCTGGACCACAGGCACGCTCTGCCATGCGTGGCTGTTGTTTTTTACGTCTTTATGGCCTGCGGCGTGGGGCTGGAGCCTGGGGTCTCTGTGTGTCTCCCACCGGCCGCTTTACTGAGGTGGCTTCAGTGACAGCTCCGCAGCCAGAAGCTTCCAAAAGGATGGTGTCTGAGGACTGAACTGCGACATTCCTGACAAGCTGCCTCTGGGACCCGCCCCACCGCATAAATTCTTCATGTCCCCCACTAAGGGCATCAATAATTTACCAGCCCAGGACAGCTGCTCCCTGTCTTTCATCCCAGGCTAGCCAGGGTGTCCCAGGGTGCCCTCAGCCTCTGCCCACTGTGACCGCTGTCCCCAGGTCCTCACATCAACACACTGTCACCACCCACTGGGGAACTCTCGCTGCCCCCTGCCCCTCCCAGTGTCAAGACAGTGGAAAGGGCAGATGTGCTGACCAGAAGTGGGAGGTGGCTATGGTTCTCAAACTGGGCTCTCTGGAACCCTCTGGGCCACCCCTAGGCCGTTGGGCCTCACTGCCCTCCGCTCGCTCGACTCCATCCCTTGATGCAATGACTCCCCCACACACACACACCCAGCAGCCAGAGGCCCTCCCTCCTCTGCCCTCAGCCCCCAGGACTCCCACCTCCCTGGGGCCAAAGCCCAGGTCCTCCTGCTGCCTGCCCGCCCGCCCGCTGGGCCCTGCACAGCCCACACACTCCTCCCACCTCCCCTGCCCCTGCTCCCTCTCCCTACTACCCCCCTGCTCCTGCACTACACAGGGCTCCATCCCACCCCAGGGCTTCTGTTCCCCAGGCCTCTACCCTTACATGGTCACTCAGGCCCCAGTTCAAGGTCCCCTTCCTCAGAAGTCATTTCAGATTTTCCACCCACACTGCCCGATTTTCATGTAATGACATCCTGCCTCCGTCTCCCTCAACCCCTCTCTGAGCCAAGGGAGGGCTTTTGTCACTACTGGGTCCTCGGAGCCCTACTCCAGGCCAGATTTAGTACAGTTGCTTGGGACCTGTCTGTTGAGTGAATAAATGACTACTCAGCAAAGGGAGAGTATGGTGTCGGAGACTTTAAGCAAGGGCTCTATTGTCTAGCAGGGGATAGTGAGGCTGATACAAAGCTGCGTGGTGCGGATGTACAGCCTCTCTCAATGAAACACCTCGGCACCGTTATCACTTTTTTTTTTTTTTTTCCTGAACCGGGGATTGTACTCAGGCCCTTGCATTTGCCAGGGAAGTGCTTATTCTAGTGAGCCATCTCCCCAGCCCCTCAACTTTTTTTCTAGGAAAAAAATAAAGGAGACCCCAAGCCAGGGTGGTGACGTACACCTGTCATCCCAGCACTCTAAGGAGGCTGAGGCAGGAGGATCCTAAGTTCTGGTCCAGCCTGGACAACTTCACTACCCAGTGAGACCCTGTCTCAGAATAAAAAATAGAAAGAGCTGGGATAGAACTAAGGGCAATGGCCCTGGGTTTCACCCCCAGCACTCCCAACCCCCACACACGTGTGCACGCACACACGCACACGCATGCATGCACGCACACACACACACACACACACACACACCCCTCAGCTCTATCAGATAGATTGGAAAACTGAGTCCTGGTGACACAGCTAGCAGCGCCTACTTTTGGGCCTGGGAGTGGGTTCTGGGAACTGAGGGATGGGGTACTAGGGCAGAGGGTGGCACTTCATAACTGGCCTGGGCTGGCCCCTCTCTGGGCTGGCCCCTCTCTGGGCTGGGCTTGAGTTTCCATGACCCCCAAGAGTTTTATCCTCTCCTGGTTTCACGTGACAACAGAGACACTGAGGCCTGGACACTGCCCCTCCCTGAATCATCAAGGGAACCAAAAGCTCCTCCCACAAACCTGCCCTCCCCAGGCTTCCAATGGAAAACTGAGGCTCAGGACACCTGACCCAGCCCACGCCACACCGTGGCCTGCAGTCTAACCCCTCAGTCCCATCCCACCTCTGGCCCCAGGGTCCCACACTTGTCTTCCCCCTGCATCCAATCCGCCCAGCCCAGGTGAGACCAGACCTGCCCTTTGTTCCAGGCTTTGCTGGGCACCGCGTCCTGGCCCCTCCTCCGCCCCGCTGCCACACCCAGCCCTGCTGAGCCAGGCACCTTGCTGGGTTTGAAATTTGGCGCCCAGACTGGTGGCAGCACAGCGGGCAAAGCTGTGGGGCCCAGAACTGGGCTGTGCAGGGTGGGGCTGTGGTGACACTGAAGAGGCTGCAGACAGTGGGGGCCACACTGCAGCACCGAACCCTCCAGGCAGCCCCCAGCCACGTGGAATTCTGCTCCTCCGCATTGTCACTATCATTATTATAAACCCTCCACACTGGGCTACTCCCCCAGGCCTTTTCTGGTTTTTATTTGGAAACAGGATCTCTTTATGTCATCTGATTGTCCAGACTGGGCTCACACTGTGATCTTCCTGCCTCAGCCTGACAGTGCCAGGATTACAGCTGTGGGCCGCTGCTTCTGGTTCCATCCCCATTTCACCGATAAAGAAACTGAGGTTCACCAGACCTGAACTGTGTGTTCAGGGCACCACGGCAGTTGGAAAAGCTTGAATACAGGTTCCTCTAAGCCCTGAGCTGGCTCCAGACCTCCCTGAACCCCTGGGGTCCCCAGCTGAGCTCAGGAAGTCACCTTGCAGTCCTGTTTACAGCTAGTAGCTGGTCCCTTGTCTGCCACAGAGAGATGCTAATGATGTGAGACTCCTAATCCAGTCCTACTTCAGTCCTCATCTCCCTGGCCAATCCCTGGTGCCTTTCCGGGCCTCAGTTTACCCTCCTGGGAAATGGGCCCAGTTTGCTAGCACAGAAAAGGATAAGTGGCGATAGGTCTGGGTTGGGCCATCTACCAAGTACCTTGGTAGCCACAGTCCCAGGCCACAGTTCATAAAATCGAGGCTCAAGACCCAGGCTCATGGAGCTGGCTGGCGGGCAGGGTAGGGTGGGTGCTCTGGCTCCCCTGATTCCTTGCACAGGGAAAGCTGCTCCGGTGCCCACGGCCTAGGAACCCTGTCCAGGAACCTGCGTGGGGAGGCAGTCCGCACTGGGGCGCCCCCGCCGGAGAACCGGGAGGTTTGTACCCCTACTCACACACCCAGAGACAGAGACATAGGCAAACTGAGGCGGGGGGGCACACAAGCAGATGGGGGCTGCAGGGACCAACGGTGGCCAGCGGGGGGGTGCGGGACCGAGGGCAGCCGCTAGCTCACCTGCTCTCCGAGATCTGTCCGTTCGTCCGATTGTCAGGGATCCGTGTGGTTCCAGCGGGTTTCGCAGGAATGGGATCTTTGCCGCCGCGAGGCTCCCAGAGTCTCAGGAGGACGGGGCGGGGCGTCTGATCGACCACGCCCTATAGAACACGCCCACACAGAGACCACGCCTACAAACCCTTCCACGCCCCCGCGGAAGAGACGCTAGAGTCACTGTGCGGCGGAGGCGGGCCTAGCGTACGGGCTCAGCCAATGGCGGCGGGGGCGATGTACAAAGAAATCAATGAGAGCGAGTCTACGCACCAGAGATGAAAGGGGCGTGCCATGGGCGGGGCCAGGCGGCTGTGTGTTGGGGGGAGGGGTTCCTCCCGAACCTGGATAGGATCGGGTGCTGGTGTGCGGCGCCTGCTAGGGAAAGGGAAGGAAGGAGGGAGGTTAGGGGGTGCCAGGGGCAGACACTGAATTAGAGGCCAGGAGCCTCGCAGAGAAACAGAGCACCACGTGGCTCTGCATAGACTTCTCCTTCCTTAAGTTTATATACCTGGTAGGACGATTTGGGCGGAAGCACGTTCCTAGCGGGCGCGGTAGTGCAGGGCTGCAGTGCCAGGACTCTGGGAGGCTGAAGCAAGAGGATCTCAATTTGGAGCTCAGCTTAGGCAATTTAAAGAGACTGTCTGAAAAATAAATACAAGCTGAAAAGGCAGTTGGGTGCGAAGGCCTTGGGCTCAGTCCGCCTCAGGGTGGTAGACGAATCTGTGGGGTGAGGCTTGGGGCAGCCCCCGGGTGGACAGACCTCAGAACCCCCACAGAGCAGCCCCCTCCAGCTGCGATTTCCGCGGGATGCAGGAGGATGCAGCTGTGCGCCCTGGGAACCGGGCCCTGGAGCTGCTCCCAGCTCGGCGCTGTGTGCTCCATTTCCGCCGGGCGCACCTGCCCAGCTCGGGGTCCGGGTCCAGCTCGGCTAGGGGAGCTCACGGCAGCTAAGCCCAGCCCTCCTGCGCGCAGCCAGACAACAGATGTTTGCTGAATGCCCCCCTGACCTGTAGAGGGTGACCCAGGAGAATCTTGACCACAGAGACAAAAACAGTTTGACTCTTTCAGGATGGAAAAAGAAACTGAGACCCAGCAAGGGAAGGGACTTCCTGCGGCCACACAGGCCCAGCAGTCAGGCCGGGCTCTAAAGCTCCTCCCACACACGGTGGGTCCTGTGCTCTCTGTACCCTGGGCCTTTTGCCCTTGGCACTTTAGGGACTGATGATTCTTGTTTGCTTTTTTTTTTGAAACCGGGTCTCGATATGTAGTTCAGGCTGGCCTTGAACTCATTAGAACTCACAGTCACAGTGATCTTCCTGTCTCAGCCTCCCAAGTACCCAGATGACAGACATGCACCACCATGCCCAGCTGGAGCTGGTGATTCTTGCCCCCGGAGGGAGGACATTGTGGGCATTGTAAGGTGCTGAGCATCATCCTGGGCCTGCACCTAGCACAGCCCCAACCATGACAACCACAGACGTCCCCAGACATGGCTTGGAGTGCCCTGACAGCAGACTTGCCCTTCTTGAGAGGCACTGCTCTGGATGGACACTGTCTGGCCTCGGCCCCAAGCTATGCATCAGAGGAGTTTCAGCGCTCACAGAGGCCGAGTGGGGCCTGCACCTCGCTTCACACTGAAGCAGCTCATTCATCGGCCTGGAGTGGACAGGGCAGGCCGAGGCAGAGAGTGCCAACCTCTGGGGCTGGGGGTAGTCGGTGGGAGTGCCCCCCTGCCATGCAGGAAGCTCTGGGTCTCATCCTCATGGCTGGGGGAGAAAGCTTTGTTATTCTTTACCTGAAAGTGTTTGCACCCCTGAGACTTTTCCCAAATCCAGGACAGCCTGTGGGTCCTCAGATAGACAGTGCATTTAAAAAGTGCTCATTGAGGTACGAGGAAAACATCTGAATCAGCCTGAATGTAACTGGGACTGATCAGACCCAGCTCTGCCTCAGAAAGTTAAAAAGCGTCCATGCAGATGTGTAGAGACAGGGGCACAGGGCATGGATGACAGGAACATAAATGGGGGCGGCCACCACGGAAATCTGTTTGGAGTTAGAGAATTACTGCATGATCCAGAATTCTACATTCATTTGACTTGTACTGAAAGATGCCAGAAGCAGGGGCCCAGGAGATATTCATGTGGGTTTGCTGATAGCAGCATTATTCACAGTAGGCCAAAGGTGCAAACACCTCAGGAGTCCATTGATGGGGGAATGGCCCTTCACACCTGGAATATTACTCAGCCAGGAAAAGGAAGGAGATTCTTTTTTAAATTTTTATTTATTTATTTATTGTGTGTGTGTGTGGCCAGCTCAGCCCACCAGGGGGCGGGGCTGGCTGGCATGTGGTGCTGGGGGATTGAACCGCGGTCCCTGTGCTTTGCTAAGCTTGTTCTAAGTAGGTGCTTTAGACCACTGAGCCATCTCACCAGCCCCCAGGAAGGAGATTCTGATCCCACTGCAGTAGGAATGAAACCTGAGGCCGTGCTGCTCAGGAGCAGAGGCAGACACAGAGGGACAGGCACAACAGGGTCCACCCCCAGGAGGTCCAGCGTGGTTGGACCCACAGAGACAGGAAGGAGGCCAGTGGTACTGGGCTGGGGAGAATAATACTTGTTTATTTATTTATAGGAGTCTCACTATGTATGTAGCCCCTGCTGGCCTTGAACTCACAGTGTTCCTCCTGCCTCAGCCTCCCTAGGACAGGGATCACAGGCATGTGCTACCACACCTGACCTGGAGGCAGAGTTTCGTGGGCAGATGAGAAAGCCTTGGAAGTGGGCCATGCTGACAGCTGCACAGCCTTGGAGTGTGCTTAGGGCTCCAAACTGTACCTAACAGGAGTTAAAAGGACAGATTATACAGGGTAAGTTAGAATGTAAAAACTGTACCGCAGCAGAGAACCGCAGGCGTGTACACTGCCCTTGGGTGGGTTGCGTGGCCCCCAGGAGCATCCTGGTGAAGCTGGATCTTAGCGCCCAGTAGCAGGTGCGCTAACATCTGAGCTGCGGTGGGCCAAGCATCCACCGCACTTTGCGTACATTAGCTCACCACCTCACTGGCAACCCTGAGGCCCAGCCCCCACCCTGTGGTGGCACCATCAGTCAGCCCAGGACATTGGGAGGCTGAGGCAGGAGAATCACAAGTACAAGGCCCCCTGGGCAACTTAGACAGACCCTGTCTCAAAATTAAAAAGCTGAGCCAGGTCCCAGGATTCAGGACCGCGCCGATCCCGGACTTGCCCAGCAGGGGACGCGCGCAGCCCACGACGCAGGCCGGCGGCTCCTTGGCTCTCAGGAAAGGGTCGCCGGGTAGGCAGGGACTGGAGCCCAAGTCGCCCGAGACGCTAGAGCCACTGAGGCCCGGCCGTGCACCCCAGAGAACTGTGCGATCCGCAGCCAGGGACCGCTCCCCGAGCCTCGGCCTCGAGTCCTGATGGTCACGGAGAGGGTCGAGCTCCCCTGGCGCTGGCCCCGCTGTTGGGGTATCTGCCGCCTCCACGCGCGGGCAGCCATCTGTCCCAGCCCATCTGGCCACCCGGGGACCCCGTGCCGGGCCATTTGGGTAAAGGACCCGGTGGGCAGGGTAGGCCCGACCAGGGGGCCTCAGAGCACAGTCCCCAGGCTGTCCCCGCCTCAGGGTCAGGGGCCAGCATGGGGGTCTTCGGCCCACTCCTCCCTCCACACCTCCCAGCCACCCAGGCGGAGGCTGTGTTTACAATGTCGCCGCAGACGGCCGCTGCCTGCGCGTGGGAAGTGGGAAGCGGCGTCTGGAGAGATGAATGACGCGAGCGTCCGCGTGAGGGCGTGGGTGCGCGGCTGGGGAGGGGGCAGCCCCACCTGCCGCAGCCTCCAGCGTAGTGAGCCCCGCTCGTCCTGGGAATGGAACTTGCCACGTCCCTAGCTGGAGAGACGCCCCCCTCTGGGGTCCGCGAGCACAGAGACCCACCCTGGATAACAAAACCAGCCCTGGCGGGAGACGGAGTTGTGAAGCTCCTTGCCCAAGCTGCGCCTGGAACCCCTGGACACAGCCAAGCATACTTCTTTCATAGGACTTACAAAATATATGCAGGGTATTTAAGTGTCTTGTGTGTGGTTTTGTTTTGTTTTTCCAGGACGGGGGATTGAATTCTGGACCTTCCACTTGCTGGCCAGGTGCTTACGCCACTGAGCTATCTCCCTGGCTAAGATTTTGTTTGTTTTGGCGGAACCAGGGCCTTGCACTTAAGCGCTTATTCTACTGAGCCATCTCCCCAGCTAAGATTTAAAACAAAAAACAAAAAACAAAACAAAACAAGAAAAACCCCTTAATATTGCATTTATACCTTGCATTTCTATGCCTCAATTCCCCAGCCCTTTGCATGCCAGCCTTGTGACACAAGATAAAGGACCACTGAAGGTCTCAGACCCAGACTGTATGGGGTCCTGGCTGTGGGGGGGCACACTGACCTCCAGTAAAGGGAGTCACCAGAACTAGGGAGCAGAAAGGAGTTCATTTGTAAGAGTCTAAGTGGGCTGTGTGGAGAAGAGGGCATTGCTGCCAGGGTCTTGACTGCTGAATAGGAGTTTTTATCAGTAGGAAGTGGCATTTGACAATAAGGAAAATGTTTCAGGAAAAAGACGTGGCAGGCCGAGGTTGAGGGGTGGGAAAGCTTTAAGTAGCTCATAGCAGCTGGGTTGGTGGGACAGGATGGGCTGAGGAAGGAGGGGCTGAGTTGGAACTCACAAGCCCTGAGACTTAATCCCAACAGGAAAAGAAGCCAGCCTCCAAAGAGGTTCGGCAAATGCAGGGGAGTTGGCTCAGTGGCACAGCGCCTGTCTGGCAAGGATCTCGAGTTCCATTCCCAGTGGGGGGGAAAAAGTGTCAGCAAAAGGAGAGCCGTACCATGAACTGACTGTCAGATATTCCCTCATCAAACCTTCACTTGCCTGCATTCACACCGCTAGGACCAGTTACTTTCTGTGTGACTTCAAAACAATCACTTACACCCTGAGCATCAGCCCCACCGCCTTGAACAACGAAGGGCAGTCTCTGACCTCTCCTGGGTGGGTCCCCCCCAGCCCCACACTGGGGATGGAACCCATGGCCTTTGCACTGAGCTACACCCCAGCTCATTTTACTTTTGTCTTGACCAGATCTTGCTAAGTTGCTGAATTGCCGAGATCCTCCTGCCTCGGCCTCCTTAGTGCTAGGATGGCAGTTGTATGCTGCTGCGAGAGGGAGGCAGAGACACACGTGGCAGTCCCCTGGGGTCCCCTGGTTTTTGCCCAGCGTGCCCAGTGCAGGCCTTGTCCTCCCCTGTGCAGTCTATTTCCGCTGCTGTCCTCACAGCCACCCGACATCCCAGTGACTTCATCGGCTCGAGCTGGGGGTGCTACTGACCTCATCTTGCCACCTCCTGGAGGTGCGGGAGCAGAATGACGGCGCGATGGCCTCAAGGGGCCTTACGGGCGTCGTCTGTGTCCTCTGCGGCTCGGAGATGAGCGCCCTTTAGCAGACACAAACCCCAGAGAGGGAGCTTGCATTCCCTGAGATACACAGCACTCAGCGCGGGAGCCCCCAAGCAGGAACTGGACTCCTCTTCGCCGCAGTAGGCTCCTCGGTGCTTCCTCCATGGAGCCACCAGAGGGCGCCATAAGCAGCGAGCCCGGCCCTCGGTCCTCCGCCTACTGCCCTCCAGGCCTCCCACCTCCCTGGGCCAGAGCCCGGGTTCACCTGCGGCCGCAGGGCTCCGCACAGCAGCCCGTCCCCTCCCCGCCCTCCGCTCCCTCTACTCCAGCCACGCACCGGGCCCTGTGCTTAAGTCCCCGGGCCTTTGCCGGGCTCTTCCTCCTGTTGCTGCCCTTTATTTTTTAGATTGAGACAGAATCTGGCTAAGTCACCCAGACTGGGCTTGAACTTTCAGCTTCCCGAGCAGCTGGGACCACAGATGTGCGCCACTGCACCGCACGCAGCCTCAACCATTTCTAACCACGAAGGCGGAAAGGAAATTGGGTCTCACACCATAGCTAGAATTTAGTGGCTGGAGATACAATTGAGCCCGAATCTATCTGGTTAAATAAAGTTGATCTTGTGATGCACGGTTGGACTGTGGGCGGAAGAGGTTCCTTAGTTCCTCTGCCCTGGAGATCGAAGAACCCAGTTTAGAACCCACAAGAAGGAGCCCTATAAGAGAAGACAATGAAGCCAGGCCGGTGGCACACGCCTGTAGCCCCAGCACTCAGGAGGCTGAGGCAGGAGGATCTCAAGATCCAGGCCAGCGTGAACAACTTCGAATCTTAACGAGACTGTCTCTAAATAAAAGTATAAAGGCCTGGTGGTGTGGCTCAGTTTTGAGGAGTTTCGTAAGGGGGAACCCTGTTTTCCACGGAAGATCCACCTCTCTCCCACATCTGCTTCTCTAGTTCTCCAACTCGGCCCCCAAACTGGCCTGCCCAATCAAAACAGTACAGCTTCTCAGGGTGGCTCTGATTGGTCAGGAATGAGCCAATGACAAGGAGAAAAGTCCCCGCGCTACAAGACTTCAGCTCAGCTACCTGACTCAATCACGCCGGAAGCCTTATGGGTTGCTCTGGTTGATGACCCTTGGTGCCAGTTTCCCCTTTCTTGTTCTTGTTCTTTTTTTTTTTTTTTTTTTTTTTTTTTTTGCGGAACCAGAGAGCGGAACTGGGGGTTGAACTCAGGCCTTTGCGCTTGCCAGGCAAGTGCTTGCCAGGCAAGCGCTTATTCTACTGAGCTATCTCTCCGAGCCCCCTCCCCTTCTTGTTCGTGTGGTGGTGGAGGGCTCAAGCAGTGGCCGAGGAGTTTTGCGAGTACGTTTCCTGGGTACTGTGTCGGATCTGGGAATCGCTGGGTTATCTTTAGGGAAAATCGCCAAGACGCCTGTCACCATAGGATCAAATACCGTCAGTCAGTTTATTATTATTTTATTTGGAGAGGCTGGGGCAAGTGCTCACTGAG